AAGCAACGCAGCAGCCTGGACTTGCTGCAGAAACGCAGTAGAGATCACAGTGGTCCTTGTCTCCTACAAAAGCAACACAGCAGCCAGGACTTGCTGCAGAAACGCAGCAGAGATCACAGACGTGCAAGGGTTTTCTCGGGGTTTTCTTTACTGTAGCAGCGGCACGGTGGGAATATATTTTAGGGTTACGCTTGGCTCTGATGCTAAATTGAATTTTACGGCTCAATTTACATTGTATTGCATAATAATCAATCTATACAAGATACAATCCTTATTCTATAAGGAAACAATAAAGGACACACAACTATCATTCTTAATAAAAGATTTTAATATTTACAATATATTTACATACCCTTTTTAATACCACTCACGTTAACAATTTGAGGTTCTGCATGAGACGTCACGTAAATTTGAATGCCTAAGGTTTCCAAATAAGGGAATGTGGTGATTCTTTTGGGAAAAAGGAGAGAGAGAAGTTGTGGGGATGATATTTGTGGTGGTGGTGACTAGTGGAGGTGACATAGAAGCCACGGTTACTTATCTCTGTATAGTTGAACTGGAATTTGCTCTTATAATGGATTTGGGTTATACTTTTCTACGCATGATGCATACCGTGCAAGCACACGTTGGCGGCCCTTTATGGTTGACAAAGAATAATACTGCTGCCCTTTAGTTGACTCGGAATTAATAACCAAAATAACTGAAATTACAGATGTCAGTATAAGATTGGTTGATGTTAGATAAGCTTTCCATGTTGTAATGAGCTGGAGTGATAAGGTTGGGTAGGATTGCCACGTAAGCATAGGCAGTTATTTATGTACTAGTACATGTACTGTTTTATTCCCTCATCTTTCACTCGGTTCATAAGAATTACAAACTCATAGGTTATGTTTCAATCCACCATTTCTTTCAATTTTATAATCCACTTAGGTTATGTTTCAATCCATCATTCATAAATGATCATCTTTGCAAAAAATTAGAAAAGTTTAAAATCATTAAAATATTCATTTGTAGTGAAGAAAATAGATTGATCCGATTTTGCAAAGAAACTCTATAATGAGTATCATTTGATCCAACGATCATATGATTTTAGATTTTAGTGATTTTTGGTAAACATAATATTTGAGAAAAAAATTTAAAAGATAGACGGTTCAGATCGTTGAAAATGTCATGAAATAATCCCATAAAATAGATGTCAGTATATGTGTGTCCCCTGATCCATATATGAGATTAAGTCATGGACCAAAAGATCCACAATTGACAGTGTGGATGGCTTAAATAGGTTTGAAATTTGTGCTTTTAGTAGCAAAGTTTGCTCGGAGTTTCCCTTCTACTGGGTCGGTGGCAGCTAACTTTTCAAGCTTGTTTTCCCCTCCTCCTCCTCTCAATCCTTCCCTTCTTACTCGGCTCCTGTGATGGCCTCCTTATTCGTCCTTAACTTGGGGATCGCCCCACTTTTTTCGGAAGGAGTGGATGGAGCACCATCTATGGGCCTTTTGTCTTTCCCCGCACTTGCGGTGGCCCCGTTTCCCTCCATGGAACGGTGGAGCAACCCACCATCTACGGGTAGTGTGGATGGAGTATTATCTCCAAGTCATTTGCCCATGGATCATGGTATTTTGATTTGGAGCTTTTGGGCGATTTGGGGCCCTGTGCTCAAGATCTTGCAAAACATCGAATCAAATTCCAAATTTGGTGGATCTCACCTCACCACTTGCTTGCTGCTTCTTTCGTGCTTCTCTCCGATTAAAGACAACTATATGTTGTCACCCCTACAAAGGTTTGGTATCTCTTCAGAATGGTGTTTACACCACTTGACCTTTTTGGTTACAGCTTGCTTTTGGGCATTTAGATGCCCTTTGTGTGTTTGGTATCGGCTGAGGGCTAGAAATGTGGTGTTCGGTATTGCTGTGGTTTCTTTAGATCTGAAGATTTGGCACTTTTTCCCCAACATAGTGACTACGATGGGTTCGAGCCGTGCACCTTGCGACAGTGTTTTCACGGATTTGGCCGCGTATGTGGCGGGCGAAGATTTGTTTAGGATTTTTAGGTTATTTTGTGTGGCCACTTTTAGGCCTCTACGATTGGACCTTGGCTTTTGGAATTCTATGTTTTTTTTTTTTTTTTTGCTTTTGGTATAGATAGGAACCTTTACTCATGCATTGTGTGCATATGTGGCATCCTGTCTGTACCGTCCTCTTTTTTGGGCTGTTTTTATTTCTCGCTTTTACTTGCGGAGTCTTTGTAATTTGTCCCTCTGAACTTTGTTATAAAAATTCTCTTTTACCAAAAAAAATAAAAGATGTAGTGGGCCTAGTTTCTACACTAGCTAGCTAGTGGTTGCCAAGATTTTATGACTTTGATTTTTCAAACAGGGGCGGGCGATATATGACACGCCTCGACCCTGATATTCCCTGAATACCAGGATAGACACGTGTTGGCCGACACCCGAGGGTGACGAAAGCCAGTAATTGATACAAAAGCTAAGGATAAGAAGTAAATAAGGGTTAGAAATTTAAAATACAATGAAATAATAATTTAGGAACGTGTTCAGAGCATACAACTAAACCTAATCACTAAAATAATTAAGATAAAAATAAATGAAATAAAGAGATGGGTCGTACTCCGAGAGGACTTGAAGATACCGCTACGGAAGTGCCTTGATGCCGGGATTATGTGCCTTGATCCTAAGTCCTGAATGGGGGCGCAAAACAAAGGTGAGTGGACCAAGTTTATATATATAATAATAATAAAACAGTTATCAATGTACTAACCCCCACAGTTTATATATAATGAAAACTACTAGCATAATAAGTGATGGATTAGTAAAAAATCCTAGCATGACAAAAATATCTCAAAAGTCACATCGCGGAAACGCATTGCGGAAATCAAAACAGTAAACGTATCATAAATCGTCTCGTAGACGCGGTGTGCTGCTAGAAAGATCACTGAATAAATAATACTCCCGGCCCAATGCCTGCACCTCAGTTTCTGTGCCCGTAGCCAGAGATAACTCCTTCTCGGCCCAGTGCCTGTCACCGTGGCCCTCAACCTTTCGCTAGGGATTATTTCTCCTGGCCTAATTGCCAACACCAGATCCTCGCCCCAGGCGGCATAGTGTCTACTAGGTACGCACAAATAGTTACGTCTCTCATAAATAACCACTTCATACTATAAAGTCATCCATCGTCTATACTATAAAGAGAGGTTTCTAAAACATGTTCTAGCATCCTATTGTCATCCATCGGATAGTCTACCAGTTCATGGTTTTTATAGAAATTACGATATATATATATATATATATATATTAAAATACAGCTCAATATAAGCTAACAATTATTTCCTCACCAAAACACGAGACGAAATCCATAAATTCAGTAAACAAGATTGATATAAATCAATTCACAAAATTCATAGGCATGCTAATCATTTATGCAATTACGATAAAATCATGTAATTTTAGAAGGGGTCCACTCACAGTACTTAGTTGTCAAAAGCTGCGCCACTAGCGAATTAAATTGAATTTGAGAAAACGGACATTGGAAACGGATTCAGAATGTTGAATTACCCTAAGAAGGGTCCCGGACGAAAACCCGAAAAGTCAACCCTAAAGTCAACGTTGACCGGGGGTCAACGGTCAAATTAGGTCTAACGGGTTTTAGGTTTGAAATCCAGATTAGGGTTTAGGTTAAATAAAATAGGGGATTTGGGATTGGGTGGGTTTAGGGTTTTAAAGGACTTTAGGAACCTAGGGTTTTGGGTTAAAAGGGTATTAGGGTGAGAATTAGGGTTTGGGCTTTAGCCCAAACACACACACACCACAAACCCACACACACATGCACAACATGCACATGCACACGCACACACCTAAACACACACACACATACACGGGACAAGGCCTTAAGGCCTCACAAAAACAAACAGAGCTTTAAGCCCTTTGAATTAAACCGGCCCAAGGCCATTTTAAAATAAGGCCCGAAGCCTTTAGGGGTTTTAAAAACAAAATGAACAAAATTAAAAAAAAAAAAGGGGCTGGGGGTTTTGGGCTAAGACAACACGGGCTTAAGGCCTGAGGGGAGGAAATGAGAAAGGCCGGATGGCCTGGTGCCGAGGAAGAAGAAGGCCGGAGCTGCTACAACTCCGGTCACCTAAAAACGGGGGCTTCAAGCTCCGAACTAAGTACAAACATGAAGAATAAAGAGAGAGGAAGAGGTTTCTACCTTCCAAACATCATAACTCGGTCGGAGGTGACCGGAAAAGCCCTCAGAGTGCACGGGTTCGTCGGAAAAATGGGTGTGCTCACCCACAACGATTCCGAAGCAAATCCTACGTAAAAATGGAAGGATCTAGTTCATAAAACACATCCAAGCATCAAGATAACCACGAGAATGAGAAATTCGACTTACCTAACGAAAAAAGAGAGAGAGAGTTCACTGGAGCTTTGCTCCGTGCCGTTGAACTCGCGGGCAGGGGGGTCCTGGGCTTGCTACGAGCCTCTCCTGAAGGTGCTAAGGTCCAAGTGAGTCCAGGGGGGAGAGAGAGAGGTGCGAGAGGTTGAGGGAGAGGGATACGGGAGAGTTGAGAGAGCCACGGGAGGGAGAGATGAAGAAGAAGAAGAGAGAGATCAGAAAACATAAAAAATAAAACAAGGTGGCCAATTAAGGCTTTAAAACAATTTTTAAATAAAATGGGGTTGGGTGTTTCAATATAGCTATTCACTATTGAGTACTGAATATATTGCAATTTGCATAAATAGACTGGTCACATGAGCATACACTATTGCTCACGAAGTATAGTTCTTATTCGCGCACACACACAAAAAGGAGCATATTACTTAAATTGAGGCCAGTGGCCACCAACATTTAGCCTTAAATTTCGTGAAATACTAATACTATTAAGGTAGAGATATACTTTTAAGTGATGCTCCAATTTCAGCATTATTAAGGTAGAGATACACTTTTAATGCGGCCAATGGCCATCTCCAACAAAAGATAGAGATATAAACATATTCAAGCACATTGATGCATTTTATTGATGAACCAAGTAAAATTACGGATACATTTCCACATACAATTAAACAATGGAATATTAATCCCACAAACTCGTACGTTTAAAAATTTGGAAAAGCCAGCATATCAATTGCATGGCTTCTGATCCAAATTATGCACTGGTACACATCGCATTAACTAAACACAAGGGCATGCATGAAAGCAGGCCATTCCACTATGAAATTATTTAATTACTTAACCATACTTTTTGATCAAGAAGAATACTCGATCTTAAACCCACCAATGGTGATAGGCGAGTTCGAAACCCTAGGCACCAACGTCACCAGCACACTGCTATCATCCTCCACACCCAAATCCTCCAACAAGTCCGTGATCCCCAGTTTTAAGTTCGTCTTTTTCTTCGTCCCAGTCTTCTGGTTATGCGGCACGTGCACAAAACTCCCAGCAAACTCGGATTTGTCCTTCCTACTGAGCGACTCAGCATCATCATTAATAAACACATCGAACTTCACCGCCTCGTTGCTCTCGAATTCGATGTCCTTAATGATCAGCACCTCCTCCTCGTCGATCTTCTCCTTCTTGGTCCTCTTCCGCGGCTTCGGCCTCGCCACCTCCACCGTCGTCTTCGAATCAAACGTGGCCGGGAACTTTGTCGTCAGCTGGGTAGCCCCCACCTTGGCTTTTGTCTTGCTCTTTGGCTTACGAGCGGTTGGCTTGGTGAACAGCCACGGAACACTAACAGGCTCGTAAGTATAACGAAGATCTTTCTCAGGTTTGAGGCTGTCCCGAACTTTACAGCTCACAAGCTCGGCGTTTTCATCGTAGAACAGAAACTCAGCGTCAAGCCAATCGGTGTCGGTGGGGTCCTTGCGCTTGCCTCCGAGGGTTTTCCAAACGTTCCACATGCGGTCCACGTTGCAATGGTGGGCGTAAAACAGGGGATCCCGACCGGCGGAGTAGAAGTTACCCATGTCTTCTTGGTGGGTCTGGTTCGGGTCACCGCACCAGAGATGGATGTTATTATGAGGACTGTTCTCAATGGTGCCGGCGTAAGTCCCTGTTGTTGTGTCTCCTGCCCGGTACTCATGGCCGAAAAATAGATGGGGAGTTTTGGCACCGGAAACCATTTGCCGGTACATGATGGCTAGATTCTCATCTATTCTTGTCTGGTCGTCCACGTCATCATCGGTTCCACCGTAGCTGAGATCCACCAGCACGGGGGGCTGGTGGTCGGCGTTTCGGTACTGATCATAGAGTGGGGAAGTTGTATCTGTGTAAATGTCGGGAATTGGAAAACCTGCACAACGGACAAGTATATTATGACATATTGTACACATACATCTTGAATATAATGCAGTTAAAAAAAAAAAGGTCGTACCCAGTGCACAAGGCTCCCGCTTTACGCAGGATCTGGGAGAGGTGAATGTCGACTAGCCTTACCCCCATTTATGGAGAGGCTGCTCCCAAGAATATAATGCAGTTATATTTTATCTAATCATTTGCTAGCTACATCATGGCCAAAGATATATGTTTACATACGTTGTTTGTCAAAAAACAAAAAATAATAAAAAAAAAAGGGTGGTCCATTAAAGAAACATATTTATGTTGTGAAATTTTAGCTCTGCAGCACAAATTATTAACATACCGTCAGGAGAGTCCCAATTCCAGTATGGGAGAGCGAAAGTTGGGTCATCAATGAGCTTGCCAAGGATTCTCTCGTAGAAATACAAGTACATGCGGTGGAAAGGAAAGAAAAGCCAGGAGAAGTGGATTTGGATGTCAATGTCCGGAAACCCTACTTGTGGATAAGCACCATTGCAGTAGGCACAGTGAACTTTAGCTTGTTGAACCATGCTACGCGGGTCGTCTTCGGGTAAGGCACGCATGAGGGCTTGAGCTTTCTTGAACTTGGCCAAGTACTCGTCCGTGACCAAATGGGCGGCAGGCCTCGTCCGCAGTGGGATAGACCGATCCGGAGTGAAGGTTTTGATCTTTGTGGAGACCGGTGGACAGCATTCCACAGTTTCACCTCCGGTGGTGATTTCGGCCGGCTTACATTTGGTTAGGTCGGGTGGAGCCAGCGGGTTGGCAAAGGCCAACGGCTTTGGGGCGAGGGTGGTGGCCCCGTAGAGGCCGCCCAGGCCAATTAGGACATTTCTCCTGTCCAATTTTCCCAACAAATTAGAAGATTGTTGTTGATCTTGCTCATTATTATAATTAGGGTTTGTGGCTTTGCAAGAGATTGATGATCTACGTGCAATGTAGTGCTTGCTTTTTCCAGAGAAGGAAAGTTGGGATTTGTTTGGGAGGAAGGCAGAGAAGGAATTGGTGGAGATGATCAAAGAAGAGTAAGTGCCCATGGTGGTGGTGGTAGCAGTAGCGGGAGAGGATGCAGAAGCCATATGGTTTTGCTTGTGTCAATTGTTTGACGTGTTTGCTCATGTTTATAATGGCCAAAATGTTAAGGATAATAATCCAATGGTTTTATAAGCTGCCACTTGTCAATAGATCAGTGAGTTTCTTTTAATAGATAGTTATGAGATTACTTGGTTAATAATTTGGGAGTTTTAAGCGGTACTGTTCACTTTAACGAAAAACCACATTTTTACACTAAAAAATCAAAATTGGTACTATTCATTTTACCCTTTATTTTGTCCTTATCGTTAAAACTCAAAGTTCTCAAACCTTTTTCATTAGTTTTCCTTAATAATTTTCTATAACTATATATAGTATATAAGGGAGACTGAACCATTGTATTGTGAATCATCATTAATCACTCATTTTTCTCCCAAAGCTAAGCGCTCTCTCTATTTCGTTATCTCTCTCTCTCAAGAAATTTTTAATTGTGACGGGAATGCAGATAGTACATCACTTGTTTTTATGCAAGTGGTGGAAAGTTTTAATTTTTAAGTTATTAACCTTTTAACACACATAACCCACCATTTATATAGGGACATGTGGTATACCACTTCGTGTGACAGTTACACTGAATAATCTCTCCTCTCTATCTCTTCTCTGTAATTCTGGTTAGGTTTACATGGTACCTTCGCCGGTATAGCTAATTGCTCGGTAAAATTCTTCGATCTTGGTTGCTTCCGCTCTCAATCTCTGATCTTTGATCTTGAATCTTTTTCTTCTTGATTCTTGGAGATCTTTCTCTTCTCCAATCTTCATCTTCTCGGTATAGCTAAACCACTATACAAAGACTGAAGATGTTAAAATAAATAAATAAACTAATTAATTTTTAAAAACCAACTATTGATTTGATTGTTCGCCTGAGTATGATATGCAGCTGGCAATATTCTTGCCTTGGTAAAGGTAGAGCTTTTCCTCTTTATATCTATCCGAATGTTCTTATCCATTTTCACCTTGCTACTTAGACTAATTGCTCATTTTATTTTATCTTCTATGGACTGATCAGTAAGAGAACTTTGAGTATCATTGGTAAGTTGTGATAGAAAATAGAAGCATCATAATTTTTGTGAAGACAAACAGAAAGAAAATAGATTATGGGCATGATCATGGTCTCAAGAATCTCAGTGTTCGTTCGAATTGGAATATCTGCAGCATTACTATTGTTATGAAAAAAGTATTAAGTATGACAAAACTTGATTGTCTGGATTAATTAAGTATCGACACCAAGGTTACGTTGACCCATTACCCTTTTGTGCTGTAGTTATTAGGTACCAATCTCACAATTTGCATTCGAATCCACAGAGAGATTTTTAAGTGGTTTTGGTCTTGTGTTTAATCCTGCGTGGAATTTTAGAAATATGCCCTAGCTATCCCGATTATGCAATTCACATCTGTGAGCAAGGCAGAGGGTATTCATGGCATATTCAAGGTACGTAGAAGTAATGAGCTTTTATTTTGAGAGAATTAGATATGGAAAGAAATGATCGAAATAAGAATTCATTTTTTACTTTCAAGTTGAGCACAATATTTTTTATATATTTTTTACTTCTACTCTTGATACATCATACAGTGGATTATCCGATTCTAACACTAAACGAACCCAATGGGTGGGTATACTCCGTGATTTTTTCTACACCCGAGGGATGGCCAGATGGCTCGTTTTAGCCCTCTGGCCCTCCAAGATTCCCCAAGATATTAATATTTTAATGAACAGTACAATGCCATATTTGCCTCCGTCTCCAACCGAGGGCCAAAGGGCCAGAGGGCTTGTTTTAGCCCTGTCACAAAAAACCGTCTCTAACCGAGGGCCAAAGGGCCATAAGGCCAAACATAATTTATTATTTAAAAACTACAACTAAAATGTTGTTTAAGTTTCATGTTGTATAATTTTTATGTTGGTTAATGTTATTTAATGTTGTTTCATAATGTTTAATGTTGTTTCATGTTACTTAATTTAATTTAATGTTGTATAATGACTTAGGAAGTTATAGGAAAAAAAATAGAATTTAAAAAAAATATGAAACAAATTTTGTGAAATAGAAGTTATAGGAAAAAAATGGAATTTTAAAAAAAATATATGAAACAAATTTTGTGAAATAGAAGTTATAGGAAAAAAATGGAATTTAAAAAACAATATGAAATAAATTTTGTGAAATAGAAGTTATAGGAAAAAAATGGAATTTTTAAAAAATATGAAATAAATTTTGTGAAATAGAAGTTATAGGAAAAAAATGGAATTTTTAAAAAATATGAAATAAATTTTGTGAAATAGAAGTTATAGGGAAAAAAAATATGAAACAAATTTTGTGAAATAGAAGTTATAGGAAAAAAAATGGAATTTAAAAAAAAATATGAAACAAATTTTGTGAAATAGAAGTTATAGGAAAAAAATGGAATTTAAAAAAAATATGAACCAAATTTTGTGAAATAGAAGTTATATGAAAATTTTTGTAAATAAAAAAAATAATAATAATGTAAAAAAAAATCAAATCAAATGCAACGGCTAGTAGCCGTTTCATTTGAATTTTTTTTTTTTAAATCCTATCGGTTATAACCGACAGGAATAACAAAACTATAAAAAAAAATAGCCAGCCCGGGGCTGGCTGGCTGGTCGAAAGCAGCCAGCCCTTTGGCCCTTTGAAATTCCATGGGGCCCTCCCAGATTCTCGAGCCCTCTGGCCTAGCCCTCGGTTGGAGACGGTTTTAGGGCTATTTTCTGCACTCTGGCCCTCTGGATCATTCGGTTAGAGATGGCCTTATATACTTCACTCCTTTATGAAGTTTAGAAAAATATTTAATTTTAGTCTCTAGACTCTATTTAATGTCATATGCATTCAAGGTCTTTTTTTTTTTTTTTAAGTTATAGTTTTATGGTGCCAATGAATTAAACTTTATAAAAATATTGTAAATTTTAATACTCATTTGAATTCAAATGAATTAGCTTTTATTTATTGACATTTTGCATCACCAATTTATGGTAAGTATCTTATATAAGAAAATACTTTGGTAGAGACTTTCCGGTACATTTTATGTTTTTGCATATTTTCTTATGTGCCACTAATTTATTACAATATATTTGGGTACGGACATTTCGGTACACTAGTTTAGTATAATTTGTATAGGTGCGGACATTTTGGTATACTAATTTAGTACAATATATTTAGGTATAGACATTTCAGTACACTAGTTTAGTATAATATGTTTAGATACAAACTTTTCGATACACTTATGTTTTTGCATATTTTCTTATGTGTCACTAATTCATTATAATATATTTAGGTACGGACATTTCAATAAAATATATTACGGTACGGATGTTTAATTACACTAATTAGAAGAAGCTAGACAAACTAATCAATTAAAATGTGTATAATAATAAATTTAAAATTAATATGAAGACATTAAATAAGATATCCATCAAATATTGAAACATAAATATAATATAAATTTGAATTAAGTACATATTAAGGGACTAAAATCAATGTGTAATCTAATGGTAGATTTTTATTAAATTTTAATATTCTTTAAGAATTAAAGTTCAAAAAGTTCTTTTAAAAATTATTAATACTAAAGGGAGGGGGAGATTCGAAATTGTTTCATTAAGGGAGGAGATACTAAATCACATGCAATTATAGTCTAAATATATCATTTTCAAACATTTTTCTAAAGTATTTGATCCACTCTGATACGCAGACCAGCTGGTCGTCACAAGGATGAAGAATGGTAGTAGTTAGTTACTATCAGGTGAAGGACCACAGAATAATCCATGACACTTTTGTCAGTCGAAATAGTTGAGTTGAGGGTTTTGCTGGTACTTAATTTAAAATAAGTCAACAATCTTTGTATTATTGTGGCTAATAACAAATTAATTACAAGTAATTATGTCTTACTAGAATGATTTTTCAGTGTGACCGTCACATGAGATGATACACCACATGTTATTACATAAATAGTAGAATATGTGTATCAAAAAGTTAATAACTTAAAAAATATATTTTTTTACTACTTACATAAAAACACTTGATGTACCATCGGTGTTCCATCACAATTAAAAATTTCTTATCTTACTGGCTCAGTGAATTAGGCCATCTCCAACCGAAGGGTCCAGAGGGCCAGAGGGCCGAAAATAGCCCTAAAACCGTCTCCAACCGAGGGCTAGGCCAGAGGGCTCGGGAATTTGGGAGGGCCCCACGGGATCGGAGAGGGCTGGAGGGCTGGCTGCTTTCGGCCAGCCAGCCAGCCCCAGGCTGGCTATTTTTTTTTAATGTTTCTTATTTCTGTCGGTTATAACCGACAGAAATAATATAATATATATTATTTCTGTCGGTTACAACCGACAGAAATAACATTTTCAATTCAAACTTCCAACGGCTAGCGCCACTAGCCGTTGTAAATCCTTTTTTTTTATGAATTTAAACCTTTTTTTTCTTTTTTTTTCTATAACTTCCTATAACTTCTATTTTACAAAATTTGTTTCAATTTTTTTTAATTCTATTTTTTTCCTATAACTTATATTTTACAAAATTTGGTTCATATTTTTTTCATATAACTTCTATTTTACAAAATTTGTTTCATATTTTTTTTTTTAAATTCCATTTTTTCCTATAACTTCTATTTCACAAAATTTGTTTCATATTTTTTTTAAATTCTAATTTTTTCCTATAACTTCCTAAGTCATTATACAACATTAAATTAAATTAAGTAACATGAAACAACATTAAACAATATGAAACAACATTAAATAACATTAACCGACATAAAAATTATACAACACTAACCAACATGATTTTTAAATAAAATTAAGTTGTAGTTTTTAAATAATAAATTATGTTTGGCCCTATGGCCCTTTGGCCCTCGGTTGGAGACGGTTTTTTTTGACAGGGCTAAAACGAGCCCTCTGGCCCTCTGGCCCTCGGTTGGAGACGGAGTCAAATATGGCCATGTACTGTTCATTAAAATATTAATATCTTGGAGAATCTTGGAGGGCCAGAGGACTAAAACGAGCCCTCTGGCCAGCCA